AATGCCAGGGAAAGGGCACTGTGCTGGGCGGCCCCCTAGACGGTTTGGACGCCTGGCTCTCAGGGTAGCCCTGGTTTTGTGAAGGGGAGTTAAGAGCAACACACAAGAGCAAGTGAAGGGCAGTCCCGGCCGCCCAGGGCACCGTGCCTGCCAGCAAGCGCACGGCCATCCTTCCCCGTGGAAGGGTGAGGGGGGTGGGAGGGCTGCTAGCTGGTCCCCAGTCTCTGTTCTCCCCGTCTTCTTTGCTATAAAAGCCCTCGTTTTATTTTTTGTTAATCCTCACCCGAGGATATTTTCCCATGGAATTTTAGAGAGAGTGGAAGGGAGGTGGGGAGAGAGAGAGAGAAACTTCGATGTGAAAGAGACATATCAATTGGTTGCCTCCCGCACGAGTCCAGACCAGGGCCAGGGATCGAGCCTGCGACAGAGGTACGTGTCCTTGACCAGAATGGTACCCGGGACCCTTTCAGTCCAAAAGCCGATGCTCTGTCCACTGAGCCAAACCGGTCAGGGCGGAACCCCTGGTTTTTAGCTGGTCACAACCCATGTGGAATGAAGACGGCACTGCCTGGCCTCGGTTACAGCGAGCGAGGCCCGTGATGAGCCTGCCTCTGGCGGTGGGAGGAGGGTTCCTGTGCCCCTGGAACGTGCCTGTGATCGCTGAGCTGGGCGCTCACCTGGCATCACCAGCAGATGCCACCTGTCCAGGGAGACCACGCAACAGGAAGGCAGGAAGTGGCCGGGCCCGGGTGCTGATGGAGCCGCCGTCTCAGTCCTGGACTAGCTCCCTCCGGGGCTGCTTGCGAGGAAGAAGAATGAGCTTCTGTGCTTGTTGACACGCTGCTTCTTTGTTTTTTTCTAGCTTCTTCGGCCGAATGTCGTCCTCAACAGCACACGTGTCCGACGGGAGCCTCAGAGCCCTGACAGCCAACGGACCTGCCGCTGAAATAAGCCCACAAGCAAAACGAGAAATAACCCGCGGGCATTACCCCTCCTCAGCGGTGACAGCAGAGACGCTCCAGGGACCTCCCAGGCGTCACCTCTCCAGGGACCTCCCAGGCGTCACCTCTCCAGGGACCTCCCAGGCGTCATGCTCGCTCCCTGGCCCAGGCGTCACCTCTCCAGGGACCTCCCAGGCGTCATGCTCGCTCCCTGGCCCAGGCCAGCACCTCTGCTCCTGCGGTCCCAGCAGGACGCTCACACGGGGGCTTTGCTGGGGACAACGTGCAGTGTCCTGAGAGAGCGCGTTCCCGCGCCAGACCCCTCCCCAGACCACCTGCTCTGGACGCCGGGCTCAGGGCCTCCTCTCCTGGCCTGAGACCCACGTGCTCCGCGAGCCGTCGCCGCCTGAGGAGGAAAGACAGAGAGACTTTAGCTAATCCCCTCGGCAGTCCTGGGTGGTCCTTTAAGCCCTTCCCCAAAACACAGGGTTGTGTGGTCTTCTCTCTGCCGTGATGAAATAATAATAATAATAATAGTTGCCGTTTAACGAAGACCCTCTAGTGTTCAGCTCTCTATGGGAGTCCTGGACAAACGCCACGAGAGCTCCGGTGTCTGCAGGCCCCGGCCTGACTCTCGGCCTTGCAGTTGGCTAGTGGGTGACCTTGGCCTGACCGTTACCCTCTCTCTGCCTCGTGTCCTCACCGAGCAGAGGCAGGAAGAGTCACCGATGGCCCGGCCGGCGTGGCTCAGCGGTTGAGCGTTGACCTAGGAACCAGGAGGTCACCGCTCGGTTCCATCAGGGCACAGGCCCGGGTTGTGGGCTCCATCCCCAGTGTGGGGCGTGCAGGAGGCAGCCGATCCATGATTCTCTCTCATCATGGATGTTTCTCTCTCTCTCCCTCTCCCTTCCTCTCCGAAACCAATTTAAACTTGTGTTTAAAGACTCACTGGTGAAGGAAGCGTGTGGGTCCAGGGGCCTGGCAACTTGGACACCAACCGTGGCCGAGCCCGTGGACGCTGGCTGGGTGCTCCACGCTCTACACGTATCGTCCCATTGAAACTTTACGGACGACCCCACATGGAGGGTGCTGTCCCTGGTTGTCCCGTTTCCAGAGGAGGAAGCACGCCCAGAGAGGCCTGCCCACTCGCCCCAAGTCACACAGCTGGCAGGTGGCCCAGCGGACGCTGGAACCCAGGGCTGCCGGATTCCAGAGCCCGTGTCCCTAACGCAGGCCACTTCCTCCCACCCTCCCCGCGGGCTTCCCGTCACTGACGGGCGGGGAGTGGCAGGTGGCATTCTGCTCTGCCCTGATCACAGGCCCGGATGCCAGCTGCCGCAGGAAGGGTCCTGGGGTGCCCCGGGGTCCCCACAGGCCTCTTGGGAAGTCCCAGGCCTGCCCCCAGGTAGCGAGGAGCAGGCGCCGTGCCCATCACCCCGTCTCGGGACTCATTTTTCTGCCTCTGCCGAGGGTGTGGGGCCCCTGGGTGGGAGGAGCCGGGTCCCCCATGCCCAGGCTCCGCCGGCTAAATTTAGGTGCTGGGATCTGGAAACAACAAGGGTAATTAGGGGTGTTATATCACTTTCCTGCTGCCTCTCACGTCCCCTGAGCAGTCACAAGTCACTCAGGCGGGTGGAGGAGGCGTGGGTGGCACAGAGGGGAGGAGTGGATGGACAGTTGGGGCGGGAGAGGGTGGGGGAACCCACAGCCTTCACCTCCGATGCTAGGGCTTACAGAGCAGGGCTGCCTGGGCCTGGTCACGGCCCCTGTTGCCTTGGCACCCCAACTGGGCCCTGGGCATCACAAGAAGGCGATCTTCAGGCAAACACCCCACGGGCGCCCTCCAGTTCACACCACCCATCAGTGGGACCTCCTGGCGGGAAGGCAGGCCCTGTCATTAGCAGGGCTGGCCCAGGGGGAATCCACGGGCACTGACCAGGCGCGTGTGCCATGGGGCTGGCGCGTGTGCTCCCAGCGAGTCCCTCCAGCAGCGACAGGAAAGGCTCTGTAGCCGCATCTCACTGAGGAGGAGGCCGAGCCC